GTTATAATTCAAAGCAGCCAAAATTAGTTTTTAATGGGCCTCCCCGGGGTTCACCCATAGGGAAAGCTTTTTTTTTTTTTTTTTTTTTTTTTTTGTTCTGGAGTCGCTAAATTATAAGCTCCATCATGTGCATCGTTGATCTGAATGGCTCACTCAGTGTGTGCATACATGAACAGTGAAAGAAGTATTTACCTCCGCCGTTTTTCCCGCAGAGATAGGGAAATCTCCACACGTTCCCCAGTCCAATTGCATAACCCACACAAGACAGGAGGAAATCAAATTTTCCTCCCCATGTTTCTCTGGCGGGGACGTCTTTCTGCTTCTTGTCGGTCTTCACGTCCAGGGACTTGGGCTTGTCGTTGTTGGCGGCCACCTCGTTCAGTTCTGTGACCTGTCCATCCGCTTTGGTGCCGTTCGTCGCCATGTCTCTGGATTTGGCAAAGGTCCTGGCAGTCGGACGGGAGGCTTCAGCACCGGTCCACGTAGACAGCAGCTTCGCGGTTTTTTTTTACCCCCCGCCCCCCCACTCTTTTGTTCTACAACTAAACCTTCGGACCAAATGTCTGGAGATGGAGCCTGTGCGAACACGACTGGTCAGTCGTTGTCAACCTAAGATCGTGGATAGAGTGATTGGTTGTTTGAGGGTGCAGGAAAAATGGTTACCTGTTTCAACAAAGATGGACACAGAATGTACCACACTCATTTCCTCTGAATCAACAGCAGCAGTTTAAACAAATCATTTACTTTTCAACTCCAAAGACGCATTTTAAAGTGCAGACTGATTCATTCTCTGATATTTTGGCACCAGAACATTATTATTTTTTTTTTTTCATTCATGTCAAATCACTGATGGCAGAGCCATGCTGCCTTGCCTCCACACAAATCAGCTTGCACATAATTTAACAGCCAAACAAACAAAGCAACAGACATGGTTGTCTAAACAAATTCCGAATTTAAATGTGCCAAACTAAGGAGAAGTGCAAAGTGTTCCAAAACACGCAGGACGCACCGTAGCAATGTAGTGTCCAGCCTATGAAAATTAAACTCAACGAGGTCCACCAATTAACACCTACAGATTCTCCTGTCAGTTATTTTTGTGGATAGCTGAAAGTAAGCGTGGACAGATGGACGTCTCTAACACGCTGGAAAACAAAACGCACCGTGGAGACGGGAAAAAAAAGGGATGTCCAAATGCGTAAAAGCTTTACGCATCAGGCTGCACACATTCTGCCATGTTAATTGGGAACTCTGCGCACCAGAATGCGACGCTTTGCATCTGCAAACACCAAGCAGACAGAAATCAGCTCCGCATGTTCGACTGTTGATTTGAGATAAGTGTGCAAATATTTACTTGATCCCCCCCTTCAGCAGCAGAGCAGCAGCCTCAGTCTCAATCCAGTCAATCCGACTGCTGTCGGAGGGGACAAATAGCCGAGCCGCGTATTAACCGGTTCCCACAGATATAGACAGCAAATATTTAACACATTTTTTTTTTTTTTTTTTTTTTACTCACAGTGAATCTGGGATCCGCACCGCCGAGCCTCCGCTGACTGCCACAAATCTCCAAACGAGGGATCCGAAGATTCCTCCCGCGGGTCAAGTTGTAAACTCCCGGTGTGTCTTGAAACATAAATAGATTTTACTTCCATTAAAAGACATTAAAGGGTACCATGCGGCGTTCGTGGGGTCCAAGCGGGAGCTGTCCAGCGGGGAGCAGTGCTGAAGACCAGAAGGATGAAGAAGGAGGAGGAGGAGGAGAAGACAGAAAGAGAGAGGAGGAGGTTGAATTAACACGGGCAGCAGCCGCTTCGCCTTGTGCGACTGTCTAACATCAACAACCAGAGACTCAACTCCCATCTACACAGCCTCAATGTCATCTCAAAGTCGCCCCCCTCTCCGCCCCCCTTACCTCCCCTCCTCATCCTCATTCTCATCTATAGGCTGAGCCGAGATCACATTATTTTGGTTTCACTCCGTTCAAGTTTGGATTATTTTCTTTTTTTCTTTTTTCTTTTTTTTTTTGGAAGTACATTTTCAAAAACGCTGGAAAGTTTTAAGAATGTTACAAAATATTCAAATGAAACATTTTTATGTTTATTTATTTATTTATTGTGTGCATTGACACCAAGCAGTTCGAAATGTGAGCCCCCCCCCACCCCCCCGAATCCTCCTCTCATCCTCTTCCTCCCCCCACCCCCCACCAGTATTAGAATATGGCCGAGGTGCAAAATGGCAACATATGAGGGGTAAATATAACGCAGCCCCGTCGTGTCCAAACGCGTAGTGCATTTTGGAGGCTGAGGCCAGTCGGCGGCTGTCTGGCAATTCTTGGCAAATTGAGATAAAGGGAGCCCGTCAATAAAAGAAAGGGAGGGAACAGTGACTGGCTGTCTAACTCAGCCTGTAAACCCGACGCCTTCACGAGTGCTGGGATGATATGAGTAGGATAAACTGGAAGAGCATAAACTCTGGCAATTATTCTTTTTAAAAAGTAAAGAAAATGCAAAAGATGGAAACAGCGCCGAGAGGAATGCGCCGAATTTTCTCCTTTTCCTGCTTTTTAAATTTTGCTTGTTGTAAAAAAAAAAATATATATATATATGGAAAGTAGAAGAAGACAAGACAGAAAACAAGAGGATCTAACTCTCTGGTAAGTGATTTGCTTAATAAGCGAGTCAACTTGTTTGATTTTCTTGCAACTTCTTTTTCCTCTTTTTTTTATTTTTTACTTGAAGCTTTTGCCATTTGCCTCCACGCTCTTACTTTGTGTCCCACATGAAGCACGTGTTCTCGCAGAAATACACCTTTTTAAGAGTTGTGTAGGAGGCGGCGCGGCGCACACTGCGATGTAAACTGCTGGAAATGCGCTCTGGCACAGAGAGACATCGGGAGCGTTTACAAGTGCGGTGTGAACGCTCCTCTCCTATCGTGGGGCTGAGAGGGCACCAGATGGTAAACCAATGAGGGGTGAACTAACCCACTAAATGTTGCCACATGAAATGCAGCATTTAAAATCCCATCTGGTTTGCTGTCCCTGCAGACATGAAAGTGTGAAACATGACACATATTTATACACCTGCTGATGGAGCACGCAGGCGTGTCCAATGGGGCTGGTGACATGCACACCCAGCCAGCTGACCCCTGAACCCCGGAGCTTTATGATTTATCTCGCTGCACTTTTCCACTGGCGGACCCTCAGTGTTTTTTTTTTTTTTCATTTCAGCAGGAAGCCTTCATGTGGCTCCTTGTGACTGCCGTATGTGCTCCATTAGGCTGGAATTACTTGTCCTCTTTTTTTAATGGCTTTCAGTGTGCCGCTTAGACTGAACCGCTAGTTCCCCATTTTACAGGCCCAGTGGCTGTAAAATCTGTGTAAGGATGATGAGAAGAATTTGTAAAAGGGTGAAACTGTTTCCGTCTGGTAATTTGTCTTATGTTTTTTGTACAAGACATAAACACATACCTTAAAAAAAATATTTAGAAAAAGGCCAAAGTTGTTGAAAAACGAATATTTTTCGTGATTTTGTGGGAGAACATTAACAGCATCATGAAGACCAATAAACGCACCTCGCTGAAGCTGTGAACAAGTTCAAAGCACGATTAGGTTATGAATTATTTCTCCAGGCTTTGGAGATGATCTGATGAAGCCAAGATTCTCCTTCCATCATCCAAAGAGGACAAGAGAATGACAAAGGTTGAAATGGCTGCCAAGACAAACAAGAAGAGCATAAATCAAAGAAGTAGCCAAGATGCCGAAGATAACCCTCGGGGAGAAGCAGAGATCCACAACCCAGGTGGAAGAATCTTTCACTCCATAAGTTTGGTCTTTTTGGAAGAGTGACCAAAAAGTAATGAAGAAAGAAAGAAAATATTGTTGAATGAAAACCACAAGAAGTCCCAGAAAGAAAATCGTCAATGTGTGGGAGAAGATGCTCAGAGGTCAAGCAAAATGCTTGGAGGACAAACACTACAAACCTCCTGAACATAACATCCCCATAGTGGAACACGGTGACGGCAGCAGCATGATGTGAGGACACATTTTGCCAGCAGGGACAGGGGAGGCGGTCAGAGCCGATGGAAGGATGGATGGAGCTGAATATGGACGATCCTGGAATAAAACCTGTTGGCGGCTGTGGCTGGAGTTCATCTACCAGCAGGAAAACAGCCATAAACATACAACCAGAGCCGCAATTCAGGGCTTTAGACCACAGCATGTTTATGTGTTAGAATAACTTAAAGTTCAGGTCTAAATGCAATTGTGAACCTGTGGTGAGCCCTGAAGATTGATGTTAGCATATGCTATCTATCCAATTTGATTAGATGTTATGCAAAGAGACATGCAGCTTCAGTTGCTGAAAAGGAGCGCCTACAAAGTATCGATGAAAGGGGCTGAATGCAAATGCATGCAACTCACTCAGCTTTCATTTGTGGAAAAAAAAATCACAGAAACCCTTTGATGATTTACCTTTGCAAAGCCATGTAGCCTAAAGAAAAACAGGAAATGCAAGAAAGAAAACAACGTGACATTTTAAAGTGTCACAAACACTGTTGCTACAAATTTCTGGTTCTACCTCCACTGATGCTGACAAAATCTAAACACAGCTTCGCTTTAAATCGATAGCTTTGTCTGCCCATCGGTCTCCCTTTAACTCTCAGAGCATTTCTCACTTGTCAAATGCATCTTCGTGGAGTCATATTTTCTAGCGCCACTCTGCAATTTTAGTCCCCAAAATGAACTAATTAGCATGATGATTAGTCATTAGTATGTTAATCATAAGCAATCCACATATTTTATTCATGTTGTCACCCCGTTGTTTTTCCTCCTTCTACTGGATTTGTGTACACATACTGCTTTATTTCCTCACCGCGAACCCTCGTGTTATTGTGATGACCGATGGAATTTGGGGTTTTAAGTAAAGACCGTATTTGCATTAGAAGATAATACTGACGATGTAAAAAAAAAACAAAAAAACCCCCCAAAAAACAAGAAATAAAATGCTTATCACTCATTTTTGTTGACATGAGTTCTTCCTTCTCATAATGAGAGCGGTAAGAGAAGATTGCAGATTCCTGCAAAGAAGTATTCACAACTCCTTTGTAGGAAGATGTTTTGGAAAGAAAACAGAGAAATGTCATCAATCTAATCCTAAATCAGCAAACAGATAGCAACAACAACAAAAAAAAACCTTAGCTCTGACAAGGAGTCTGCCTTATGAATATGAAATGTAAACATGTCTTGTGAATTGATCCCACTCAGAACTTTACAGTCAGAAACATTTTTCTGTTGCTTGGCATGTGTTTATTTTCTCTCTGATTGCTGACATACGTTCTTCTTTGGTTGTTAACACCTCTCTGGCTGATGATGGAGAGACTGGCATATTTCCATCCATCCATCCATTATCTGTTCACCCTTGACCCTTAGTGGGGTTGGGAGGGTTGCTGGTGCCTATCTCCAGCTAACGTTCTGGGCGAGAACTGGCATATTTTCACTTGGGAAATAAAGAGTAACCAGATAAGGGCTTACTCGGTTTTTCTCTGTGCAGTCTAAATATAATTTAGTCGCTGCACACAGGGATGGTTGATGAAATTTACCTCACACCTTCACACGATGAGAGTTTTAGAGGTATACCGCATGAATACGCCGACTTACATCGCAAATCTCCACACTGTGATGTCAACTTTTGAGACAAAAAAACAGTGCAAGGTAAAGATGCTTTTTGTTTGTCTGCTTTTCGTCTGTGTAAGGTTTTGTTTGCCGTGACCTAAATTTCTGTGAAGAAAGTGCATCAGCAACTCTGTCTCGCCTTTTTCCTCCCCTATATCTCCCTTTCTCTCTCTCTCTCCCTCTCTGTTCTCTTTCTATTCCTCCGGCTCGCTTTCGCTCTGTCCCAAACACGCTCGATTTACAAACAAGCTAAAGAAGCTGAGAGGACATTTCTAGCTGATAACAATCAGCTTCAGCCAGATTAGTCATGTAGAGGTATTGTTGGATGTGAGACTCAGAGAGCTCGCTGGCTGCAGATATTTCAGGAATACCAAATGGAGCGTCCTCCAAATTTGGGGAGTCTTCCACTTCTCTTCCTTCTTACCTTTGTCAAGGGGATTAATTATGCAAAGAAGTTAAATCCCGCATCTTTAAAACACTATTTTCCCTCTTTTAGGAATTTGTATGTGGCACTTACCGCTAAGTCAAGTCAAACGATTTTTTTTTTTTTCAACAAATCCAGTGAAATTGAGCAGCATCTGAATGTATCTGCATCAGCCTGTCGGTGCGCACTGATCAGCAGAGAGGTACTCTGTCTGTTGGCAGCTCTGTGTGACAGTCAGCACACGGTGTGGATTTTGTAAACATATGACCTCCATGATAACCGGTATGGGGGCTCTAAATCATTTCAAATTTTTGTACATGTGTTGCTAGGCAACAGTGTAATGTTCTCACTCACCCCTCATGATACTCCCCACCCCCCACCACCTCTTACCCCTTACATGGCTTTCTGCTGGTATTGCTGAGTTTCTCCTGCCAAAAATCATCAATTAACTTTGACAAAAGTCCATTAGTGATAAACATTAAGGCTTCTGAGGGTCAAAAGGCAATTATATGGCTACACAGAAGTAAAGGAAAGTGGAAAATGCAAAATGCATTTTAAAGTTCTAAAGGATAATTTTAAACATATCATTCCAGAACCACATGTTTTGTCCTACTCCGGTAGTAACAGCTTAATATTAAATGCTGCTGCATGCAAAAATATCGCAGCCGCCATACGGCAATGTGTGGATGCTTTACTGTTGTTGACAAGCTAGTTTATAAAAAATAAAATCTTTAAATGATTAAACAGTTTGGTACAATGCCAAGCACCTGGAAAGTACATACACAATTGAAACCAATTTGGAAAAAATAAAAAGATCCTTTCCTGCCGTCTGACGATAAATTGTATAAAACATTTCCTGTTTCTTTAAAAGCAAACATCTTGTGACGATGCCTGCTGGATTTGGTAAAAGCGGCAAGCTAGAAAACATCATTCATGCGTTTAGAGCGTGGGGGTGGGCCAGCAGTATCATCACGTGTGTTGTTGCTGGAGCGACAGGTGTGCTCCACAAAACTGATGGTATCATGAAAAAAATGAGAATTATATGAAAATATTTGATATCTTCTGAAGACATCAACCATAAAATTATAGAAGGGGCACAAATTGTATTGCAAATAAATAATACCTTCAAGAAATAATAACTTTACACAGCCAAATAGGTGGGAGTTTTGTGCCATCTTCTTATACACAAAACTGCTTTCTTTTACACTTAGAGACAAATTTAGAAAAATTCCCACAAAGTGGGCGGAGCCACGAGTCACTAAGGGGCCTGACCAAGTGTGAGGAAGAGGAGAGCGGGTCAGGGCTAGAGAAGCACTGCTGCTTACTTATCAGTTTTGTTGTTTTATTTAGAGTCTTTCCAGACACCTATAGTGACTTTTTATCAACAAGTGACAAATCTAGCAACTTTCTTTAGTGTTGTACTTTGTGACAACGCTTTGCGGCAACCCTGCAACAATGTGTCCTGAGTAAGTAGCCTAAGCTGCGGTGAGATCTCTTCCCACTTCCCAAACCGTCCTGCAGTACGCCGTCACCAATAGTCAGAGCCTTTTAGCACATTTTATTTATGATTTCCTTATGACTGCAAATACATCACAAATTTGCAAAGCTGAGTAGTTCCATCAATCAGTGCTCGCTGCTCTGGCCGTCTCTGTTTTCGTGTTCTTGGGTAAGACCCACCTTGCCTGCTGGTGGTCAGAGGCCCCGGTGGTGGCGGTGCATGGCACCTTCTGTCAGACTGCCTCAGGGCAGCTTTGGCTGCAGCCCTGTAGCTTGCCTCCATGAGCATGTGTGTGAATGACTGGATGTTGTGCGAAGTGCTTTGGAATCCTCCAGACTTGATAAAGTGCTGTGCAAGTACAGACCATTTATATCCACAAGATTACTTCCACTCAAATTAAAGATAAACTTCTCAATATTAAGAGTGCATTAAACATTCATTCGTATGTCCATACCTGACTGTCCTTACAAGGTTACAATGAGGCCGATGCCTGTCTCCAAGTGCAGTTAACGGTTCTTTAAAAAAAAATAAGAAAATAATGGTTTTACACAAGCATCCCTATTTTCCAGGATGTTTCTAAACTATGTTGTTGTAGAAAAATTGAACCAATTTTTTTAGATGACTAATTTTCACCTCATCAAAGGCGCAGTCAGGTAATTACAAGAATTAGTTGTGTTGTTATTTTCTTTTGCTGCTCTCTCTTTTGATCCCAAAGCTGCTTATTTCCTCCCACTGTTCTTGTCCATTTAAGTCTCATTAAATTGTTAGAAATTACAGGATTAAGGGACGATTTGATGACAAATAAATACAAAATGCACCCCGGTTATCAATTGTGTAGAAACTTGTTCACTTTTATTATGTTAATAAGATGTTACTGGGAAAAAAACAAAACAAAAAAAAAACTACACAGCATTTTAGGCCATTATGGGTAATAGGTAGCCTAAATGACGATTCCTAAAAACATTTCTAAACTCGGATGTGAATGCAAATACAAATACACAATGTAAAAAAGGTTAAAGTATGTGTTGCCACAGGGAAACAAAAAGGTTCATATTATATTATTGAATATGTGTATTTCATTGTCTTCTGTAAACTCGTTTGCAATAACAGCTTTATTTTGGCATGTGGTCCAAAGTGAAAGAGATCGCAGTTTCAGTGTGTGAAACGTGTCTGTGTCAGGGAAAAGTGTGTGGAGCCAGAAGTAGCTAAAGGTCCGTCATCATGCATATCCAAACAGAAAGGAGCTGTGACACTGAACTCTTTAAATGGAGGCTTTGACAGCAGTCTGCAATCCTTTCTCAGCACACTGCCCCTGCTAATCTGCTCTATTCAACCACATCACTATGGAAACTGACTGGATATCTCACCCTGGCTGCCTAACCGGTGCCATGCAGCCATGTCCACCACTGACATGGAGGTTGTTCAGCAAAATTGCTGCCTGATCATTGTTCTACCACAGTAGCCATGCTGTGACATTATTGTCTGCTTCTCTGACACATGATTATTTATTTATTTTTTTTATCTGAAAAATTGCACTGTTGAAGACAGCAAATGTAAGCTCAAAGGCTTGCAAGAGTAATCCCTTCGGTGTTAACTTGGCTATAAGATGGAGAGTTTTGGGTGGTTGAGGAATTTTTTTTATTCCTCGTGCCTGCTACCTTTTTCCATTTCTGTGCTTTGCTTCTGGCAAAATTGCAGGCGACTATTTGTCATGGTTTTAAAGGGTTTATCAACTTCAAAGCTGAGGGAGCTGGTTGTCCAGCCCATCAGTGAGACCACACAATCCTTCCAGCTCTCGCAAAGAATGGGGTAGAGCATGTGGACAAAATTTTCCTGCCAAGCTCTCAATTCAAAGCTTTTACATAAAGCTGGGAGAGTCACATTTGCATTTGCATTTGCCATTGACGTCAGATTTAATCCAACCCGAACCACTTCTCTGGGCCCTTCAACATCGGAGAGAAGAGCTTTGGTAATTGTTAATTACGGCAAAAAGATGGTTGTAATCACTTGCTCCATCAGGCTGATCAGCACTAAGACCGGGCGATGAGGAACGAGCAGAAAAGCAAATCCCACAGGTAAATATAAATCAAAAGAGCCGCTAAGAGGGTTGTGCAGCGCACATCTCAAAGTGCTATCTACCCTAAAGTATTCACCCAACTGTGGCATTTATGACAGACATGATGCATGTCTTTAAATTGCAATATGAAATTGAATGTATTATCACCGATAAAAAGTGTAAATATAAACTCAAGAAAGCATTCAGAAGGCCTTTTATTGCTGTGATCTACTATATGTACTAGTTTGAGGATCTGGAAATACGTTGCTAGTTTTCAACTAAAGCTGCACAAAAACAATAAAACAAAGTGAAGTTGTGGAATGGCTCTAATAAATTATGTTCAACTGTTTTACTGCTGAAAGGTCCTATAGAAATAAACTTAACTTGTAATGAAATTGTTGCATATATTATCTAGATTATTAACAAATTCATCCAAATTATATAATACATTTTTCTTATGTTTACTATGTCTGCTCCACCTGAGCAGCGTATCTTCTACATTGATTGTGCACCTCGTAGTTGCTTCTCTGATTAATGCTTTAGTAAAGTTGTGAAGCCTGTTGCAAAAAAAACAAATAAAAAAAACATTATTTTTCCTCCACTTTATGAGGAAAAATAATTATTAGAAAGGAAGCTCAGCCATGACTACAAAGCTGATCTTACTTAGGAATGTTTCTGTTTTACTTCAAAAGGATGCTAATTAGTTTCATGTCAGCAGCAGGGAATCACTCATGTTTAATCCCTTGTACAGAAAAAGCTGTTTGTCCGAATGAGGATTTAGGCGAAGGCACTATGTAATTCCCACCGGATTCTCCAGGAGTCTCAGAAACTATGAATCAAATTGGAAATGATCACTGAGCACACAGAGAACCCCGACAAAGGAAAGAATCGCTAAGCTAATTCAAACCAATGAATGACTGTGCATGTAAAATTTCTTGACCACCTTTAATTATTAAAACATTTCAGTTGTTAGCAGGATTTCTAATAACACTCGAGATCCTGAATATCTTCACGGAGCCGATGACGAATGAAATGATGAGCATCAGCTGTCAAACACTGCAGTGCAAAACTGCCACGGCTAAAAACTGTCTTCTTATTATTTTCATTCGTGTATCGAGTCCCACTGCTCCCAGAGAAAGATGTAAAATGAGCTGTGCTTATGTAAAACTTGTGTGTTAAGAATTAGTATAATGTGAAAACCATGGAAACCAGCAGCCTTGTACCTCAAACGACATGGTTACCTGGGTGATGAATGTTGCGCCAGGTGCCGCAAGAAAGATGCGCTTCTGTGAAAGTTAGAAATTTACTCACTGAGACCAGAGGAAAGCTCAAGTGTGACTGTACATAAAAAAAAAGAAATCCCAACCTAAATTATTTCCATAGTTTTCATACCTATCATTTTCTAGCTTATACACGTGTTTTCTGATTTTTAATAAAAACAAGTGCAGCATCGAGCTAAACTAGTGCAGAGCTAAGAATAATTCAAACACTGCAATGATTTCACTGCAGACTTAAAGGCCCAACACTAGTATTTGAAAAAGAAAAAAATTGTAGGTCTTTGTGCCTCCTATGTTGAGTAAAATTGTCAATTTGTTCAATGAAAAGTAAGAATTTATGTGCATCTCATTACACTAATTAGCAGATTACTTGCTAATTATTATTTTAGATTATTTAAGACCAGACTTTGACTAAATCTCTGCAAAGTATTATTTTTCTCTTTTTTTAGTGTGTAATGATCAGAACTGAGGACCCGAAATTTCAGTCAGACACAAAGTACAAAATAATAAGTTCTTTATTGAAGTTCGGGGTAAGGGACAGGCAGCCACCAGCAAAGGAACCGGAACTTCTGAGGACAGAGAGGAAGGTTAGAGGGTTGTATACTTGGGGAAGAGGCCGAGCTGAACAGAAAAGAACCACTAACCTACCTAGCGTTTGTGGAGGATGGGTGGTCCAGGTAGCACAAAGGCTGGCAACCAGTGGCAGCTCCAGGGAGGGACGGAGCTAGGAGCAGGCAGGACAGAGTAAAACTAGACTGAGGGTCAGGCAGAGAGCGGTGGTCAGGGCACAGAAAAAGGGTCCAGCACGTTCAGGCAACTACTAGCAGACAAAATCCAAAGGGCGAGGCAGGAGACAGAGGTCCGAGGACAGAAACAGGGTCGCGTCCAGAAAACAGAAGCCAGTGGAGAATCCGACGAGGGCTAGACAAGGCAGGCAAAACCGAGGGGCAGAAAAGTGTTCAGAACGGGGTCAGGTCAGGAAGAAATGCTGGATATCTACTCACTCTGAGGCTTTCAAAAATCTGGCACCGTCTGCCTGCCTGAGAGCTGAATATAACTGCTGTGCACAGGTGGGAAACATGAGCCTGATTGCACTCAGCATGCAGGTGAACCAGATGAACTTGATGAGAGGTGGGAACTGCGGGGACAAACATAGCAGGCAGACGGGCCAGAAACATGACATAGTGCCATTTTTAGTACAGTCAAGTACCTATGTTACCTTCAATTGTTATGAAAAGGCTGTATAAAAAACAACTTAATAAATTTGACTTTGCCCTGCGACAGACTGGCGACCTGTCCAGGGTCTCGCCCGAAACGTGAGAGCCGGGGAATTACATTATGACTTTAGATGGTCTTTCATTGACATTTTGCAGAAATTTCCCCATTGTACATTTGGATGACCCATGCATACCCAAAAGCTCTAACTATACTGCTAAAGTTTTAGGGTATTGCTTCTTCCCTCCTGATATCTGATTTGATAGCCTGTCACAACAAATCACCTGCAAAACATATGTTGGCTTAGGCTTTTGGGCTTTCAGACTTTCCCTTTTTCTCTCCAAAACGTTTGGGAGGCTGTTTTAAACTTGGAAACTTCAAAAGTGGGGGGGTTTGTCACTGAGAGCATTTGAAACATTTGACATTGCTTATTTGTCTTTCTTTAGAAGTACTGACCTCTACCTCTCTCAGTGGTCTTTCATCCCTTGTCAGCACAGGACACGTTTTACTGCGCCAGCTTCAGCCAGCACCTTTTCAATGTATTTTGCTTTTGTTGACACTCACATGTATTTCGTACTAAAAAGGGCCATCTCTAGGACAGAGAACAGTGGATATACACAATTGTTATACACAATTATACGCAGTTGTTGGAACAGATGCCACCTATGGGCATCTGAAATGGCACCCAGTGATGAACCAACGATACGCCGCTCTCTTTGTCATGCATTGGCAGATTCCTTGTGATTTTCCAATGATGTCACAGAAGGAAACGTCGGTGTTTGAGGAGTTACTTCGAAATATTTCCACAGGTGAGCCTGCATTTCGCTCAGAAGTTGTGGATTAACTAGAAGCTTACAAACCTTGACATAATCAATGTTAGTGCATGCGAAACCTCTGACTTTGAAGAAAATAATCAAAAGATTTTTTTTATACACAGAAAAAAAAAAAGTGTGATCCTTCTCCGTTTCACCACTTCAAAGGCGACCTCAAGTGTTCGAGATGCTGAAGAAATGTGTCAACCACATGAACCTGACATTGTCAAGAGCCTTCAGTGTCTCAGAGTGAATCTTGTAAAGCTCTTGGTGCAGGGTGACATTGTCTTCCACTCATTACTTTAAAAATGAGATTGATTGATCCTTTATATTAGTGTTGGTTAATTTTTTTTTGTTTGTTTGGTTGTTTTATTTACTTAGAATAGTGATGTATTTTGCTAACTCTTTGATTCATTTTGACTTTTTAAAACCTCTTGCTAAATCTTGCATGGATGGAAATGCACTGCAAAAGAAGCAACAATCCAGAATGTCTTTTTGAAATTCCTTCTTCTAGGGTGCAACTTGTGAATCCATATATGATTTTAACCTTTTGCACCCAGTCAGGGTAAAACGACATGGGTCACGACTTGCCAACTGAGAGATGATGAAGACGTGCTAACGCGCTGCCTTCAGTGTCAGACATGACATGCATGAGGAAGAACCCAGAGGTTGTGATTCACACCTTTTAGTCTGTCTGCCTGTGTGTGATGTGGTGTGTAAACATCAAGGTCTTTTCGGTGCGCTCGTGCTGTGTTAAACACTTTCTGTTTGGCTTTATAGAAATGTAAATAATTGGCGTAAGTGGAGTTTTGCCGCACGTCAAATGTATTTATCTGCTCCAACGGGACAAACACACAAGTCACTTAATTTAGTTGTTAACGACGGCATCACGAAACATTGACCTTTCGTTCCAGCCTTGAGGCCGCAAAATGAGTCACGTGACAGCCTAGATATTTACAGTGCTTCTCATCACCAGCCTTGTCAAATCACAGCACACTTCACTGCTGCCTACGAGGCCCAAGGCTGGACTTCAGCTATGCAAGCTGATGCATAGGTGGACTTTTTTTTTTCATCCTTTAGCTCATGCGCTCTGCAAGCTTGTGTAACACAGATGTCGCGAGGGTATTCTGGGACATTAATGCACATTAGCATGCATTTGTGGAAGGTTGCGTGAGTATGTTTGCACAAGAAACGGCAGAGCGAATCACAAAGGAACACCGTATGCAGGACCGATGCATTTCAGGCTGATTAGTCTTGTGGAGGAGCTTCTGGAGAAAATCCAGGACAATTTCTTAAGTTGTAGAACAAATAAATCTGTAAAGAGAGCTAGCCCGAGCTTCTCTGCATAAATTGGAGGGTTTGATTTTCTGTATCTTTTTGAAATTGAAGACTTTGCAACAAAATTTAAAATATCATGGGCTACAATAGGTATGAACATATTTGCGAATCTATTTTTTTTAGGATGCACTGTTTTTCTGTCTAAAAGATAAATACAGTTTTTGCTAATTTATCTTAAACATTGAATGTATATTTGATCTCCCTAAGGATGGGTTTAATTTATTTCTTTCCTGTCTTCCTGTCTTCCAGTTGCTACTTTCCTCAGAAATGTAGCTGTCAAACTAAAAGTGGAGCAGTAACTGCTTGGAATGAAGATGATTTTGACCTTCTTTCCCATCCAACTCGCTCTCGGTAGAGCCAATTGTTAGATTAAATAATTCTGAAGCTGCACCACTGTTCATTTCACTTGGGAATATCTGAGACATTGTCCGACACCCCAAGGGCTGTCGGATTACTTTGCAGAGAGCAGCTATTCAAGGGGAAGAGGTGAAGGCAGCTACTGCGACAAGTACAAAATGTCTGCATGCTGCAAGCCACTACAGAAAGACTTTATATTTAGTACTTATGCATAAGCATGAACAAATATGTAGGGTTCTGACATATTAAATACTGTACATCTGTTGTTTCCATTTCTGTTATTCAGCCTCACCTAACAGAGGTGTAATGATGATATATGACATTCAATTAATAAGATTTTAAAAAATGCAGAGAACCAGTTTGAAAGGGTTTGAAAAACTGGTGCAGGGGTGAAGCGTGTGAGAACTCATCAGTCCTCGACTTTACACAGTGTGGATCATGAGCCGATCCAAGATTTTCATGGTATGAAAACTTTGAGCAAAAATATTAGTTTGTCCTTAAAACAATATTTGGAGAGAACTAACAAAAATTCTTAACATCGTCTTATTTCTTTTTATTTCAAACAAAAAAGTAACAATTGTCCCATCTGCTGCTAGAAAACTTCATTTCAGAAAGTTATAGCATGTAACATAGACTTAAGCAAAATATAAAATATAAAATAAAAACCCACTAAGCTTGTTGTTTTCAAGTGCTTATTACACAGAGCATTATACTGTTTTGTCTAGCTTGTTAATTAGTAGAGCTTTGTGCTATAGGCTAGATATCCTGCTGGCTGTGAAATATGCAGCTAATGGACTTATTAAACAGTGAAATTATTTCCACACCATGACTGTACTTTTTTTATCTGAAAATATTTCCAAACAGTCATTTTTTTTCTATCATGTAAACAAAAGGAAAGTTAAACAACGTTCTTTTGGCCAATCAGCACAACTTCTCCTTCTGTTTGCTGATGGGCCTGGTAGAAAATCTACCAGAGACAATCCAAGTGAGCGGGAGAAAGCCCAAACTCTGCATTAGGCAAGATTTTTTTTTTTCCCCCAGTGGAATTGCAGAAGAAAGTAATGGTCAGCCTGGTGTTGTAGAGGCTGATGGTTAATTTTTGCATACTTTATAGACACTGAACTTAACATGCTTAGAATTTTAAAGAGGGCATAATAATTTGTTGACTCTGCTGTTGAGTTTTCTTCTCATCTTTCTAAGAGAAGCATGGAGTAGATCTTACCACCCTCTGCCAACCAACATATTATAATATTACAGGACATTTTTTGTGGTTTAAAAACTTTTTAGAACTTGGCATACCTGAATAATATTAACTGACTCAAGAAGTCATTGGATTGCTTGGTTCCTGCTGACATAGATAGTTCTGACGTCATGTTGACAGCAGATATTGGTTCATGAGCTGTACACTCTCTAGATAATTTATTAATACAATTTAACCTAAATATAACTTAATACAACAGTACAGTTTCAGGTTATTATGTAATGCGTACTAGTTTTTATTGTTTTACTGATTCAGACAAAGACGATGCCGGTAAAGCATTGACGATACTGTAAAATCTAAATATGTGGAGACGTTTATGACCACTTGAATATATCGCTTTTCCCTGTTTATGGATAGTTAAACAAACAGGAGAACCTAACATAGTTGCAGACTTAGAAAAAGATCAAGTATTTTTCAGTATCGCATCAGAAACTACAACAATTTCTTTCAGCATTTTGCCATCTTTAACCTGTGATTAATCTTAAAGACACACCTTGACAGCTCTTTTAGCCGCCACGCGGCAGAAAAACAATTTCTCTGTAGCTCGGAGGGAACCTCGGCTGCCATAAATCTGAGAAGAAATCTTTGCCGGGCCTCTCATACAGGATTTCAGAGGTTGGGAAGGGTAAGGCAGGGAGAGATGGGGAGGGTGGTAGGTCACTTGGTGGTCCAGTGGACTGGAAAATGTTGCAGGCCTCTGGCTGGAAGTTAGTGCATATCTATGTACGCTGGAGCTAATGTGGCCACTGGCTCATTGGAGCTCTGATTTAAGGAACGCTGTGTAACACGGCCAAATGCCCCAGTGAAAACGAGTGTCAAAGACAAACCACTGAGGCCAGTGAAGCAGAGTGAAGAAATCGCTCCCCCTTGTCTCTAACGGCAAATCCATGAATTTGGGTTAGGCAGTGAAAAAAATAAAAATAAAACACAGATTTGTTAAATAAATATAGCAAAGAAACCAACAGGAGAGGTGGTCTGTGAAAAGAAGGCTGTATCATTCAGTCGCACACAGGGCGCTCTCAGCCTGCTACAACAGGAGCTGCTGACAGGTTGGTCATCAATGAAAGGAGGCGGGGAAAGAGGAGAACGGAACAAGAGAGGGGAAAGAAGGGAAAGGAGAAGAGAGAAAGAAAGGGAAGCTGACAGGTTCACCCCACCTCCCCCCAGGCGCCCCCACCATCCACAGCAATCAAGGAG